AACGGATAGTTAGAATCTAAGAAAAAAGCCCGTTAATGATGGATAAAAAGAGATATAGCAGAGATTTGCAAAGAGATCATCAAATAATATTCGTTCAAAAACATATAGCATATAGAAAATTAAGAATCAAGCCTATAATTAACCGTATACGTAACTACACAAACTGTCAGTTGTCAAAAGATGTTGCTCGGAATGAATTGTTGAAGCGCTCTATAAATGAAGCAGACATCCCGATGCAACGTACTTGGAACTGCTGTCGATTTTGATTTTTGCCCCTCCTTCTAGAAAAAGAATAATTTCCACGATAACGCAGTTTCAAAAAATGAGAACTTACCCATGTGGTCGCTTAATGCTTTCAATGCGCGAAAAATCGTGCTCTACAGCTTCGTGGCAACGATCTCCATGTGGAGATGCTTCACAGTATGGAAATACCTTTGAAAAAAAATGTTGTATACGATTAATCCAATAAATGTAAGACATACACAATAGTGAAGAAATGTAGTAAATCTCGTCACTTTGCAATCTAAGAAACAGTCTAACACATCCATGACGACAGTATTTATAGCTTATTCTAGAATACTTATAACATGTCGAGCCAACCAAAATTGTTAACAATCATCGTTGGTTTCAGCTTGCCAGTTCTACCTCTTCTTTCACAAGTCAAAATAAATTTTCTCAAAGTTTTTGGATTCCGCTCCTACTCCTTCCATCGGCTTCACTTCGCACATTTTGACTTGATGTGAAGAAACGCTGTCTGGTTATTTATGATTGGATTTGGGTGGCTCAACCACAGATAATGCGAAAAATTACAGTGTCAACAACCGAATCACGAGATTTACCAACTTACATGGGTTTTTATGAAGTTTAGATATTTGGGGACGCCCTTACATGACAAAAAAATAACAAAGAACAAGTTCTTTGAAACTAGGGTTTACTTAGTTAATAAAACAAGCAGCTTACAAGTAAATTACTGCTTCCTCTTTCAAGGGATAGACGAAGCTGTTCATTGCGCCACGACTCGCCAAATGGCAGCCATTGCTCCTCGGCTGAATTCCTTAACAGCGAATCATTCCTTAAGAAGATTTAGATTACAGTATTTTATCGTTGTTTTTTTAGCACTTCTGGCGCAACTGCAATCCGGAAATGCGAGCTACATTAGCTGTTCTTACCTTGGTGTAATCTTCACCTCCTTCGTCTCATCCTCACTTTCTGAGTCTAGAATACTAGTGCAGGCAGGTGCAGTGTGAATAACCGATGTACGAACAACTCCTTCGCCCATTTCACTAAGAACATCGCGATAGTAGGTGGCTTCCATAGAATATTGGATTGCCTTAATTAGCACGTTTTAAAGCAACAAAGGATTTTTGTTAGATTCAAAATTTAATTCCATTAGTGAAGCCATCGTTTTCAAAAAAAAAATGGCGAAAGCGGTTGGTAACCATTGACCTATATATGCATAATGTGAATATTTATGATAAATGTCTAAATTTAAGATAGACGGCCTTTCTTTTTTTGCATTCTTCAATATACAGGACAGTGCAAACAATGCAGCAAAACTGTGATGAACAAAACAAAGTCAATACTTCGGTGATTGCCCGAAAAGCATCAAAATGCAACTAAAACTTCTAAATTCTGGACTTTATCTCAACTCTAGTATCCATGACCCTTCGCACAGGGCAAAAACAAGTACTGCAAATTTGCTGCTAACGTCGGTGGCTGGTTAGTAATATGCCTTTTTTCCAAAGACATCTCATTGCCCTAACTAGTTGTGCATTCGTTACTGCACAGTGTAACATCCTTATAATATAAAATTCTTGAAAACGCATCTCAAAAAAATTAGGTATTGATACTATGTAAACTCAATTTTTTATTTTGTTAGCTCAATCAATCAAAAGACTGCCATTTTCCAAGTCCCTTCTTGAATTCACGCCCTCTAAGAAAAAGCTGTTTTTCCTTTTTTTGAAAATTCCTTTAAGTTGTACTCGTCATCACTCTAAAGGGCAAAAAAAAGGAACATAGTTAAGTTCTGGATATGAAGGATTGTGCATTCGCTGGTATTAATCTTGCCCTCCCTGCTTGTCTCTTCTTGGCATTTCCAAACAAGAAATTAATTTTGGAAGGAATTCTTTAGATTTACTCGTGAAGTTCTACCCCGCGGTACACCGTGAAGCACCAGTGCAGATCCAGCACAGAGCTCTAAACAGGGCATGTGACCTTCACCGAGACCAACTCAAATATGAGGGCATTTGGAAAAAATGCCTAAGAGCTAGTTCACTGGAATGTCTATAGCACAATCGACTTCAACCCTTGTATGAAGTGAGGTTCCTAAACGCAGCACTTATAATTATCCTAAGAACTGATAAAAATTAAGAAGATGTTTGCATGTAAAAGTTATAAGAATATGTACAAAGGGCTGCATTTCTACGCAAAAACCGATGTTCTAAAGTGCCAGATGTTCTTGCTAAATTAGCAATAGTTCTCAGACTAATTTATAGTTATCACTGAACAATCTCATGCACTTTAGGTAATTGCTCGAAGATTACTATAGATAAATAAAGCTTTCCGAAACATCAACATTTTTATGTCTCTGTCTCAGTTTATATAGTATTTGAACTTCTTTCTTATTACAATACTTTAAGACAACAATTTCTAAATTAGCGAAAATATTATTTCTTCCACTTCTGCTTGAAAGTTTGTATAAAGCTCATGTTCGCAGTCAGCACTTAGGAGCCATAAAAGTTTTTGTAAATAGAATGCGGATGCGTTTGGTCAATAATTATACTCTCTCTCCCCACTTCTCAGTGAATAGTAAAGATTAATGTGCATCACCGCTAGATGAACGGAAAGGACGTTCAGATTGACAATCGCTCGACCCATGTAATATTGGACTTACTTGGATGAGGAATGGAATTCCTCGGATATTTTTCATCACCGCTTCCGTTGTATCCGGATTTATTGTGGCATCTTTTCCAAGTTTTTCTTCCTTCCAATGTTTAACAAAATATATCGGACGATGAATCACCTGTAACATTTGAACTTATGGGAAACTTCACGAGATTCATTGTTTTCTTGTTTGAAAAGAATTTGACATACCTTTGGTCGAATAAACCATGTAATAGCGAACAACAGCATTCCTAGCAAGCCAGCCACTGTTAGCACTAAGGAAACGATTAACAGATCTTCACGCAGGATACCAAGGAATAAACCTTGAATGAAAATCTGTAAGCATTATCACGTAATTCCCATTACGACTGCAATGATGTCAGGTGCATGGAACACTTACTAGAACAGAATAGCTACTGATGAGTTACTTACCAGTTAGAAACGTTAATAAGTTGAAAACAGCGGAGCAGATAAGCACGTGACGAAGTAGGCACATTACTGGAACTTCGATGATGAGACAAATGCAAACAAATTTCAGTGATAATATTCATCGAAGGAAGAAGTGTTAAAGAAAGGATTACATAAGGAATAATCAAATGATGTAACAAATGGTTGAAAATCACACTGTTTTTGTTGTGAACATTCTTCATTCGGAATCTGCTTTATGAATATAGAAATTAACTCACAATTCAGAAAAACTGCGAAGATTTTTACAAAAAAAATTCAAGTTGGAGTAAGTATGAGCAGTACTATAAAAAACATGGGGAGGGAAGAAGAA